TGCATTCCTGACAATGCCTTTATTTATCACTGAGGCTGCATCTAGCCAAGGAGTCCTTTTGTCCTTCCACACACATTCTGTGACCCTCCCAGGTGGGGATTGGGCTGGTACTAGCAATACACACACAGTTTGGCAAAGTCCTACCTTTGGGGAAATTTTCTGCGTGCTGGAGAGCACATACATTTAAGTGTGTAACACTCATGGGACACAATGCTGGCCTGATCAGTACTGTGGGAGCATGGCGGACCTGCGTTGGAAGTTTTCCAGAGGAGACAAAGGTTTCACTCAGGCTTCATGAATTTTCAAGAATCAGAAGCAGGGATATATCACACAGAGGCAAGAACTTGCGAAAGTTCAGTAAGTGGTAAGGCAGCATTGGGGAACACAGTGCAGTCGGCACACTGTAGGAGTGTAGAATGAAAGCAGGTTTTTATCACTAAGAGAAATCTGTCTTACCTCATGAATGAGTGTGTTGTCACATTCAGTGTACTAGATTCACTTAGGCACAATACCTAGGTAATTTTTGGTTGATGAATGATTGATCTAAGTCCACTGACTCTTTGATCTCGTCCTCAAGATTACAAAATTTTTAAATTAATTTTTTTCTTTTTCAGATGGGTGGTAGCAATGCCCTTGGACTTTTTCACCTTCAGTTTTCCATGCATTTATCTAGTATTGTACTGTCAGGGAATATTCTGGAAAGCAGTCATGGAAAGTTGTGGCTCTTGCTTGAGTGTGGGGGAGAGAAAAGAACAGGGACCTCCTTCCAGAGGTACTTCACTGTACCAGTCACTGTGCTTCTTTCCCTCTTTGAATCATGCTTAGAGAATGAGGGGATCCTACAAGCATTGAGAGGCATTGTGTCACCAGAACAATGCCTGCTTTTTTAATAAGGAAGTTTTATGATTATTATGACTTGCTCTACCTCACGCAGAGCCAGCAGACATTTATTGCAATCTTGCTATGTACATGGATAAATGGATGGAACTGAATGACATTATGTTAAAGGACGTAAGCCAGACACAGATATGCAAGTAGTGCATGCTCCATCTCACACATGGAAGCTACAAAAGTTGACCTGAAAGTAGAATAGTGATTCATAGAGACTGGAAAGAGGTGTGTGTATTGGGGGTGGTGGTGAACAAAGGGAGGCCAAATTTGGTCAGTGCAAGCTGGTTCTATGCATATGTGGAAATATCACATGAAACTTCTTTAATATGCATAACTAATATTTTAGATAATATTAAATAAAAATATTAAGTAAAAAATGGATGTAGATAGATTGGGTCACACTGCTAAAGTGTTTGCAGTCTAATAAACGTGGATGATTTGTGCAAGTTAAAAGCAATGCATGATAAGAAAGGGAGATGTTGTGAGAGAAGTAGAGAGATTTGGATAGTAAAGGAGAGAAGGTAGATGATAAAATCATTTCTAGCAATAATACAACTACTACGTTCTGAGTGCTTTTTGTGCAATGTGGCATAGAATGTTGATGTCTTTAATTATCACCTTCACCCATTAGGACAGAAATAGTGTTACTCCTGTTTTTCATGATATAGCAGGCGTCTATTTTGGATACAAGGAAGGAGTAAAATATGGAGAGAAAGAAAGAGGATAAAAGACAATGCTGTTCTCTTTCCTATTTCCCCAATTCAATCCATGTAGGTTAAGATCTCACATTGCAAGGGCATTTGAAAAAGCCCATCTGAAGAAAAGCACTTGGCAGAAACCCTTCATCCATTAAAGTTAGTCTGAGGAAGCGTCACCAAGAAGCAACTCAAGGGTTCTTGGTGAATGCATGATGAATTTGCTCACACCCAGACTGCATTCTGCATCCTTCTTAACACACCCTCCCTCTTCCCAATGTTTGACACCCACCGTTTTGCTTGTCAGTGAGATGGTCATCTTGGCTCTGTAGCATTTGCTATACCTGGAAGATATTCAAGTCAAATTAGTGATACATAATCAATAACAGCATCTTGATTTCAATGTGCATGACTCAGTCTTAAGTAGAAGTCTAATGTCTTTACCTACTTCTTTCAATCCTAAAATTTAAACTAAAAGCTCTATGCTGTTGGGTACAGTGCATAATAAAGGGAAACACTAATTCTTTTTTTCTTCTTTTTTTGGCAGTGCTGAGAATTGAATCCAGGGTCTTGGGCATTCCAGGAAAGTGCTCTACCACTAAGCTTTATACCTTCAGCTCCAACACTAATTCTTGAAGATTTTGTTTCTAACATCTGATGGAGGATTAAGTATCTTAATATTCTTGCTCTTTTTTTTTTCTTCAGGAAATATAGGACAGACTCAAGGAATCACATCTTTTAAGTTTCTTCCTCTGTATCCCTGTGTTATGTTCAAACCACTCAGCCTCAGACACAGTACAAGAACGGCAAAGAGAATATTATTGGACAAGAAAGTGGACGTCGTGTGGCTGATGGCAGTTTTGGTGGTGTGGTTTCAATGGGACTTATTAAAATGTTGCCATAACATGCACTGGTGTATGTGTGTGTGTGTGCACAAATGCACAGAAGGACACATTTTGGTTGGTGTCCAAAGTGTTTAGAGACAATAGAAAAAAATCTGACTTCTGTCTATAATTTATTCCACTGTGTCCCTGCCTCTGGTACTAGTCCCAAAGTCTCAGGCCTATTATGAGAGATAGGCAGAGAAACATTTTTGGACATGGGAGTGGAAACCAAGAGGCTAGTTCCTCTGGTGGTGATGGAGTTTCTGTGGGAGTTATTAAGTTGTTGCTAATACATATGCAAGTGTTCCATTAATGGAAAAAGCCCCTTTGGTCTGTGTCCCGGTAATCAATGGCAAGAGAAAAAATCAATTCCCTTATCCTCAGCTTAATCAGGTCTTTGTCAAAGAAGGTCAATATGCCTAAAATCTTTCCAGAGTTCATTTTTACATTTTGAAAAGTGTAAGAAAATTATATTTTTGAATTATGCATGACAAGTATGTACTATGTAAAAAGAATCTCAGGCTGCCAACACAGACATATTAAATATGCACAGGAACTGAGGGGGGTCTTTGAACTGTGCAATAAATTTTGCTGAAGAGAATTCTGAATCTATACTGGACTATATTTTTAACATAAAAATGGAATTTAAAGAGTACAATCAAACCAGAACAAGAATACCAGCAAATGTCACAATTTCATTCTTCTTTATGACAGTAGAACTCTGCTGTGAATCTCCTTCCTTTCCTGAGATAATCCTTATCTGAAAGTTGGATGTATAATTTTCATGAAGATTTAAAAATCTTTATTGCTTATTAAATACTATTATGAGCTATTATTAGTAGATGGATATTTATATTATTATACTTATGTTGAATCAATACTTATATTATTACTCTCATATGT